TTCCACCTCCATGCCTTGGCAGAATTGGTCCTTCATGTCTAGAATGTGCTCCCTCCTCATCCCAGTTTCACAGAATCCCCAATTTCCCTCCAAGTGGCTGAGATGTCACCTCCCACACAAGCCTTTCCTAATCCCCCCCGTTGTTAGCATTCTTCCCTCTTGAAACTACTTTGTATATATATATATTTTGTGTAAAGAAGGAAGATTAGGGGAAGTCTGATCAAATTTGTAGTACAGGGAGAGGGGTGTTTCTTAACCTGATAAAACATAATAAAGGATAGGCCTTTGTTAGTCACTGATCAAACTGAAGCTCCTCAGTCTTCAAATTATAAAGTATTGGCCACTGGATAAACGCAACTGATGGACACATGAACCTTTTAATAACTGGCTTCCAGGATCAGCCATGCCCTTTATGTCCTACATAAAAAGCAATCTGTGTCCGAGTCAATTGAGAAGAGAGGGAAGTTAGAGTGAGACGGGAGCCAGTATAGTATCTGGGAGTTCACTCATTCAGGGGGCATGACATGGATGCTTATCCAGCAAGGAAGACTAAGAAGGAACAGTAGGACAGGGGTAGAATCAGGAGAGAGGAGTATCATGAAAAGTCAAAGGGGAGATAAAGAGGAGAGGGGGCTTGGCAATGTCAAATGCTGAAAAGAGGTCAAAATAAAGGATGAGAATTGAAAAAAGGACATTTGATATGGCATTTAAGAGATCCTTGGTAACTTTGGACAAAGCCATTTTATTTGAATGATGAAGTCAGAAGCCAGACTACCAAGGATTTATAAGAGAATGAGAGGAGAGGCTAGGTAGTAGAGGCACCCAATATAGATGGCTTTTTATTTTCACCAAGTTTGACTAACAAAGGAAAAAGAAAACAAGGATAATAGCTTGATGAGATGGTAACATCTAGTGAGAGCTTTTTTTTTTCCTTCAGAATGGAGGAAATGGGCTTGTTTGTAAGTAGCAAGGAAGAAGTGAATAGGTAGAAAGAAATTGAAGATTAAAGGAGGAAGTGATAGTGGGAGCAAGAAGATGGAAGTTGATAGGATCAAGGATACACAGAAGTAGAGTCATCTCTGGCTTAAAGGAAGAAATCAGAGGAAATGATGTCACAGGATTATGAGATGAAGAGGAGGGGAGAAGAGGGAGCTCACAAGGAATGACTATCAGTTATGTGTTTATAGACAGTCTACAAGGGAATTTCAAGGACATGGCTTCCTGAACCTTCTGTAAACAAATTTAAGGAGGGGGAAGCTAGGTGGCACAGTGGACAGAGCTCTGGCCTTGGAGTCTGGAGGACCTGAGTTCAAATCCAGCCTCAGACACTTGACACTTAGTAGCTGTGTGACCTTTAGCAAGTCACTTAACCCTGATTGCCTCACCAAAAAAAAAAAAAAAGAAGAAAAAAAAGAAGAAAGAGCTTGGCATCTAGAACTGGGATCCTGTCACTAGGGAGATGGAAGGCCTCAGAGCTAAGACCCTAAGGGAGAAAAAAATGGGGATGCTTTCCAAATGCTCTAAGGTAAGGGTTCTGGTTTTCTTAGAGAAACTAGCAGGGTCCTAACCAAGAATTTTAGGTTACCAGAAACTGGAGGTGGAAGGGGGCCATAACCAACCAGCAACCAGAACCGTAACACGCCCTGCACAAAAACATGCCCAGTGAGCCCATCAAAGCAATGTGCCTAGCTGAGATGGCAAAAGCTCTGGACTTGCTCACTCACAAATCTATATCACATCAGTGATTGAGGAAATTGAGCCCTAAGGTTGTGAGCTTAATGTTCTATTAGAAATCTCACTGTGCTATTTCAATAAATGCTTTAGCTTTGAACTCTTTGCATCCTTCGGATAACTACTTATAGGTAAACACAGCGGAGGGGACACACGAGCTATAGTTTTAGGAGGCTCCACCAAGCACCCTAGAACCCAGATCAGTTGTCCTGGAAGAACCCAAATACAGTGTATTTACTTATGTCTGTGTGTGTTGTTACTCCTTTGTAGAATCTAAGCTCTTTAAGAGCAGAGGTAGTTTCATTTTTGTCTTGCATCCCCCAGTGCCTAGCATAATGTCTTGAATATAGAAGGTACTCAAAAAATGTTTGTTGAATTGAACAAAGGTGTTATCTGGTGCCTTCCCCAACCTCCTCAAAACCGACAGCAATAGAGTGGAACACCAGAGAAGATCACAGGAGGAGCAACCAAATTCATTCCATATTGCAATTGCTAATGCTCCAGTGCCACCCTTGGGAGCTAACTCCCAATGGGTCCATTCTGCTAACTCTTTCTAAATTCGCTGTTTGCTTTAGCAAAATTCTAGAAGCAGTCTAGTTTGTACACAACACCACCACAGATGTTGTCCTCTTTATAGGTGGATGTTAATCATGGTGACTGATGAATCCCTTAAAAATTGAATATAAAACTACTGCACCTACTGATCATCTCCCCTGTTAGACTGTAAATTTTTTGTGGGAATGGGTTTTTTCCATTTCTGTAGTCCAAGCACATGGTATTGTGGCCTGAACAAAACAGATAATGTCTGCTGAATTGAATCGGCACTAGTATCAATGGATGATAGAATTTAGAGCAGGAAGGTAACCCTAGAAATCATCTAGTAGAACCCTGTCATCTTACAAATGAAGAAACAAGCCAAGAGATTGAGACTTGTTCAAGGTGCCAAAGATAGTAAGTACTTACAACATCATTCAAACCCAGCTCTTATAATTTCAAGTCAGGGCTCTTTCTACTATATCAAGGATAGGAGCTCCCAAGAAACTAGATGTGGATAGTGTGATGACCTAGCAATGACATGGAACTCAAAAGTGAGCTCTTCATTCACTATGTTATATCTTCCTGGTGAGTCTTCTGGATACCCTGAGCATATATGCTTGCCCATTCTGATATACACCAGAACCCTCTCAGGATGTACTATCCACAGGTCACTTATTCAGGACCCATAAAATGCAAGGATAGGGACTATTTTATTCATGTTTTTGTATCCCATCACCACATCTGCAGTTTGATCTCTTTGCCTGGCTTGATGAAGTGGTAAAACCTGTAGCTAAATGCTGCTAACCCTTATTGCAGGGTCTAGCCCTAGACAAGGGCCTCATCTCTAGCACGTTGCCATAGAAACTGCTCATTCCTATTCTTACTGGGCTCTTCACCAGCTCCATATCACCACTTGGCAGTGTTTCCAATTTAAAAAAAAAAAGTCTGTGATATGCTCTATCCTTTTCCCCCTGTTCAGGGGCAGTTTTAGAAGGTAAAGACCAGAACTGGGACGCTGTTTGCATGTTTTATCAGATGTAGAATCTTCCCCACCCCAATTCCCTCTCTCCTTTGTACCTTCCCATAACTGAAGCTACTGATTACCCAGATATTCTCAGCCTGGTTGCAGAGCTAGATGACTGGTTTACTATATAGCTACTAATTGTAAACAAGTCTACTATTCTGCCATCTAGGTATTGACAAAAACCCTTTATCACCACGGCTATGATGATTGATTGCTCTGTCACAGAACTAAGGTTATATATAAAGTGATAATGAAAAACATCACTTTAAAAAAACTTACTTCATTGACTATTCTACGGGTCAACTGGGTAGGAGTTAACCTGAGGAAAGGTACATCCCAGTGTATTTATTTATTAAACCACTGGCCATCTTCCTTAGAGCTTTCCAGGGGAATCTGATACAGAGTCCATTTTTTTAATAACAGTATGAAATAGAGACTCGTGGTTTCATAGACAATCCTCTTTTTGTGTTCTGCTGTGCTTTTCTTGCCAGAAATGCTGAAGTCAAAAATAAAAATAAATACTATATAATCCATCTGTACTCTCTAGCTGAATCAATCAAGGTCCCCCTCCCTCTCAAAATGTTAGGCACATGGGACAGAAAATGAGTACCACTGCAATTTGCTGAGTCCCTGAGGATTATCTCCCACAGTATGAACACTTGGTTAGAGTCTCGTTTGGGAGCTGAATCAGAATTAGTGTGCTAACAGAGGGAGGAAGAAGAGGAAGAACATAGGATGCAGAGTGAGAGAGCAGAGAAATTCACATAGTCCAGCCTCATGTGCAAGTATATTCCAGTCCCATCACACACCATTGTTGAGGACCTCCAGAGGTCACCTCTTCTCTCCTCCCGCAGTCAGAGAGGTTAGCCTCTCCCCCAGCTCAGAGAGAGGGCTCTGCACCCCCTCCCCCATCGTCTGGAGAAATCTGCAGAAAAGGTTTTTCTTGAGTCTTATCTATTTCCCCCTCACTGCAGTTTAAGCTCATTCCCCGGTGTCCGGCTTCTCCTTAAAGATAGAGAACGGCCGGCTACCATCCTCTAAATCACAATGTCTTCCTAGAGATTTGGGGATGGACGGGAGGCCCTGACTCCAGAGCTAGGGTGGAGGGAGGTGGCTGAGGGGATAAGCATGAAGGGGACACCCTGTTCGGGGCAGATGAGGAGTAGGGCAGGGATGGGAATGATGGAAACCAGGTATCGCACGCCTCAGGCCAGCAGTGGATGAGGCGCTAGCCCAGTGTACAATGATAGAGATGAAGAGAGCCAACCTTATAGAGACAGGCTTCGGGGAGCAGCAAGATGGCTCCCCCCTAGGCCCCAGGAAAAAAGTCCTAGGGAGCAGCTCTTACTGCTGACCAGCCAGACCCCTGACCCTTTCCTTTGGGTCCCTTACCTCCCTCCGCCCCTGCCTCGTGCCTCAGCCCAGGTCCAGCCGCCGCAGGTTCGAGTGAGGCAGGTGGGAGGAGGAAGGGGGAAGGGAGCTAGGGAGGGGGAGGGGAATGCTAGGGAAGGAGAGGGGTGAAGAAAGGAGGAAGGTCCCCGCCCCTGCGCATACAGAGCCCTGCGGCCTCACACTGCCCCGTCTTCAGACAGGAACTTCGGTCCCGCCCCTGCAGTGTTGGGACCACGCCCCCTGACGAGATTCGGCCAATGGGCGGCCTCATCCGTAGCCCTTTAAGAGCAGCGCACTCTCCCTGCCGCAGCCTGGCTCTAGCCGGCCTAGCGCGCCCGCGGAGGTTTCCATGGAGACCGAGGCTGGGCCCGGGAGGCCTGCCGGCGTTACCATGGAGACAACTCCCGGGCTGGGGTTCTGCAGCCCCGGCGCGCGGTTGGTTCAGAGCCCCGGGGAGGTGCCGAGCGAGGCTGGGGTGGCGGCCGCACGCTGGGACCCGCGGAAACACTCCTTACTCATCGTGATCGGAGACATCGGCACCGAGAGCCAGCTTCGGGCCGTTCGGGTCCACCTGGAGCAAGGTGAGAACCATGGTCCCGGCTGCGCTCAGTGCATCCTCCGCCCCGTGTTGCTAGTCCTTTCTGCATCTTCTAATTCGTACATCTTCATCCTTCACCTCAAATTTCCACATCCCCAACATCTCGTGTATTTCATTTATCTATACCATTTACCTAAGCTGCTTTCTCTGTCCTATGTAGATCTTCTGTTTCATACGACACCGGCTTTCCCCATGCGTTAACCACACCTAGCTTCCCATGCCCTTTCCGCACTCCCCACTGCTGTCCTGCAGTCTCCAGGGGGCTCTGTACAGCCCCCCATGCCTGTCCGGGCTCTGCGCCCAGTGTCCCGCAGTGTCTCAGGATCTCGAATCTTCCCAGTAGTCCCTTTCCCTTTCTGGAGAGTTTTTAAGGTGGTAGAACTCCCAGGTCCCACCCAATCCCCTCAGTCATGGCCCCTGGGGAACAGGGGAAACACCAGGGCTCTTTTCACTTGTCTCTGGGTCTCTGAGCTTCTGGGAACTAAGGTGCTAGTTAGGATAAGACTTCTGGGGCCTGTGGCGCAGCACTGCAGAGACACGACCTGCGGGGGACTCTCAGGCTGCTGTGGGGTGGAGCAGAGGAGGGGGCAGAGAAGGAGAATCTAGAATCTCGAATATCTGAAAGTTTTGAAGCAGGAATGATAGCAAAGTGGGGACAAAACTGTTTTGTTTGGTTTTTTTGCTTTTGCAGCATTAAGAAAACTTTTATAGAAAATTTTTAGAGAAAAACTCATTCTTTACAAAGTTTAGTCCACCCTGAAATAGTCCAGAGAAAGTGACAGTGAGGACAGACAGGAGAAATTTTTCTTAGCTTTGTAGATATACCAGTGAAGCTGATCTATGCTACTATATTCTTAGCCCTTCTGCATGCCTTGTACTCTTTTCCTTCCTGCACCTGCTACTTCTCGAACCTTGACTGTTTTGACCCTGTCCCTCTCTCTGTTTTTGTCTCACAGGGATTCTTTCATGGAACATTGACTTATCCGCCTGCAACCTGAATCAGCAGCTGAGACTCTTCATTACCCGGCACTTAGCCCACTTCTCCTCAGAGGTCAAAGGTCAGGTCCATCTGCAATTGTCTATATCCTTTGGGTGAGGGCTGGACAGATGGGCAGGACGTGGGTCTTGCTACTGGGACTTCAGACCAGAAAAGGATGGGCCTTCTGGGAATTCCAGGATCCTTGAAACTGATGGGGAGGAGCCCAGGGCTTTATGGGGTGGGGGGAGGAGAAGAAGGGGAGGGCAGTGGAGATCTGGCTCAGCCAGAAGAGAAGGATAATTTGGTGACAAGTGTTGGAATGACATTCATTAGCCCTATACATAGGAACTGGCTACTTCTCCAGTTTAAAAAAAGAAATAATTTGCCATGCAGAACCTGCTCTTCTCCTACCTTCCTCTTCTCTTTCTCCCACTTTTCTTCTTCAGAGCTCCCATAGTCACTCCCCATCCCTTTGCTCAGCATTTTTCTTCTAGTCACTCACAGAACATCTACTAGTCAGTCAGTCAACAAGCATTTACTAAGTGTTTACTATCTGCTGATCACTATGCTAAGTACTGGGGATACAAAGAAAGGCAAAAATAGTCCCTGTCTTCAACGAGTTTCCTTGTGCCTCCTGTTTGGACTTTGTTGGCTTGGCTCCTGTCAGGGTTGAGTCCTAGGAACCAAGAGTGAGGTAGATCTCACAGATCTTGAGTGATTCAGAGGTTCTTAGGTCATAGAATAAAAGCCAAAGGTTGCAATTTCTCATCTTCTTGGGTTAGACTTAGGGTTAGAGACTTCAGAAAGGATAATCTTAGGAACCCTGATTCTTGGTTGCAAAAGCATATTCATAGATTCCTAGGAGGCATCTAGGCCTAGGCTATGAGGAGACTGGGGATAGTGTTGCAGTCCCCATATAAAAGCACAAAAAGTCATAGCTCACAAGAAGCATGAGTAGGCATATTATTAGCAAATTATTGGCATATTGAGTTCAAGTAGCTCTAGCTTCATAGGTATAAAACGTGAGTTGCACAATCCCTTCATCTGATTATATTCACACCCTGAACAGTCAGCTTCTAGTGTGTGGATTATCCAAAAAACTCCCCCTCCTCTTCTTCCTTTTCCTATTCTTCCCTCCCATTACTTGCTCACTGACACCTCTAGAAATAGTGCTTTTTCCTCCCCCTCTTCTTCTTTTTTCCTAATCTTCCCTCCTACTACCTGCTCACTGACACCTCCAGAGATAGTGCTGGAGAAGGGAGAGAAGAAGGTTAGTATAGTCAATTCTGCATTATCTCCATATGGATTGTATATTTGGTGGATAATCTGCAGTAATTTTTTTAAATCCCAGGCTGACATCCCTTGGACATCCCAGCATACTTTTGGGCCACATAGTCACTGTGCTGTCAGATATTGCATGCTTGGGGAATGACAACTAATTTTCATACCAGGCTAAATAAGCAAAACGTGACTAGGTAAATTTGTCTTCTAAAAATAAAACAATGTTTTATGAAATCAAACATAAATTGTTTTTGGATCTGAGTTAGATTATCCACACCATCACTTCCTCCATTAGCGCTGACAAGAATAAAAAACTGATTTACCACGTTTTACTACCAGATACTCTGACAAAACTGGATGGGAGGGAAGAGTAAAAGTAACACCAAAATTGAGGTTTGGGGTTCTCTCTCCATCTTAACTATCTGTGATTAACTAACTATCATTCCCTTATGACTATGTAGATGCAATAACAATGATAGTGTCATAATAATTTGTTTGTCTTGCTTTACATTTCACAAAATGCTTTCACACATAGCCTTTCTTTTTAACTTGTCAACAACCTAATGGAACAGGCAGGCATTACTAGCCTCATTTTACAAATGAGGAAACTGAAGTTCAGTTTCCTGATTTCTAAATTGCCCAAGGTCAGAGAACTAAGCCAAGAGTAGGCCATATTGAAGGATAGCAAAGGAAATGAAGATCAAAATTTAAACCAAGCCATTGAATCATATTTTAAGTCAGGACACAGAGGAACAGAAATAATATCACACAGTCACACTCAGATACTGTCTCAGACAGAAATGCAGATACTCAACCCAGGTTTCTTCAACCACAGGCCTTGTCATGGAAATTGGGCTCATACATCTCAGGATCAAATCGTCTCGCTCTCTCTCTGTCTCTATCTCTGTCTCTCTCTCTCTCTCCCTCTCTGTCTCTTAGAAAGTAGCAGTGTACTGCTACTATTTTAGACATCAACATTTGTTTGGTGGCAGATCAACCTCCGAGAGGATAGGGGTGGGGTGTCCTGGAGAATTTCCAGGAAAAAAAAAAGACACTGCTGAAAACAGTCACAGACTCACCCTGCCTTGTTTCCCCTCCTCTCTCCTCCAAGCCAAACACTTTCAAATACCAATAGAGAAACATACTACATCCTCACCAGCTGTCTCAGAGACACCAGCCAGGCCAGAGCAGCTGTAAACACTTCTGGGATGTTTGTGGGAAAGTAAGGTACAGATACAGCCATAGAAATAGAAGAAACTCTATTAATCATCTAATCCAGCCTCCTCCTTTTTCAGAAGAGGTCTAGAGTGGAGAATTGTCTTACTCAAGGTCAAACAGTGAAAGTTATTGGCCCAACCAGGACTAATACATTATGACATTTGTGTATTGCTTTAAGTTTACAAATCACTTTATCTCATTTGAACCTCACAATAACCTCATGAGGTATATATATATATATATATATATATATATATATATATATATATATATATATATATATATATTTAATTATTTAGAATATCTATTATATGTGTGTGTGTGTGTGTGTGTGTGTGTTTATTGTTGAGGGAACGAAGACCCAGAGAGGTTAAGGGACTGGCCCAGGGTCACACAGCTAAATGTGAAAGGAGGGGGATTCACATTCAGGTCTTCCTGAACCCAAGGCAAGGTCTCTCCAAGGCACCATATTACCCTTCAACATTGTACTCTGTGTCTGATCCCTTATGCTTATCCCACAGATATCCTGGTCTTTTTCTCTGACCTCCTCTCCTTGAGGCCATGGCACAACCCTGTTCCAAGAAACTGCTGAAAAGGGTGGAAATTCTTCTTCCAGGAGTAAAATTAAGGAATAACATCTCCTTGCTCCTACTGCCCCTGGGAAGAGTGGTCTTCCCTTAGAAGGAAACATCCACCTGCCTAATGCCTTCTGGTGGTCAGAGAATGGCATTGTTGTTCCAGAGGATAAGTCCTTCTTTGCAGAACATAGAGCCATAAATGGTTACGTGGCATCTGTCCCTTTAGAGCCTTGATGAATGACAGTTCCTAGGATCATGGCTTTAGAACTAGAAGAACTAGAGGTCATCTAGTCCAAAGCCCTAATTTTACATAGGAGGAAACTGAGGCCCAGTGACTTTCCCAGGGTTACACAGGTAAAATGGCAAGACCAGGGTTCAAATTTTGGTCTTTTGGCCCCAAATCTAAGTACTCTTTCCATTGTACAGCAATAGGGTTTTTTTTAGTCTTATTAACACAAACTCAGAATCAAAATAAGAATTATGGTTAGAATGACCTTTCTAGTGCTGAGTATTTGCAGGGAGTTGGGGGGTGGGTGAGGTGAGGTGCAGGGGTGTGAAGGGAAAGAACATAACTCTGAGGTTAATTATCTGGGATGGGGGCCTCGGTCTATTTGTTTTAAAGAGCACAGATAGTCCTTAGAGCCTGAGAGACCTAGGAAGGCTTCCAGATTCTCTCCCAAGCCATTAGCAGGTAGATTTATCTATTCTTCAGACACCACAACCAGGAGCCACAAGGTCTAAGCGGCTGTCTGATAAAGTGGAAGGCTAAACTGTACTGACCTGCCCCTTTGGAATCACTGGACTTACCTCAGGCCTTTCTGGACCCCTCTGCAGTATTCTCTCCTTCCCTTCAAAGGGAAGCAGAATAATGTGCTTTAAAAAAAATTGTGCTGAAGTAGGCATATGTTTTCATCAGTCTATGGGTTTTTGCTCCGTTCTCTTCAAAATGCCACTCCCCAAACAGGCCAGGGGCTCACTGGGTGGGTGGAAGCAGAGGAAGAACTATAGGAAAACTATTGTCAGGGCTGAAACTGTGTCCCCAGTATATCCCCCTCACTCATTTCTCAACACAAGGCCCCTAGAGATATGTATGAGTGGAGCAGGGAGTGGGTAGAAAATGTCTTTTAAACACCATCGGGGAATAGGCATGGAGGATTGCTGTTACTCCTATTGCTGGTGGTAAGAACTCAGCCTAGCCAGCCTTTTGCCTTCACTTTCCATGTTTTACCTTCTTCATCCCGCCCTTACCCACTCCTATTCCCTCTCTGTACTGGGTCTTCGCCCCACCCTGGTGCTGTGGCTATTTTACATCCCTGGATCTGATCAGTAACGCCTCCCCCTTACTAGGGTACTCCATGACTCAGCTCCTCCTCTTACTGCATAGTTAAGAGGGGGATGGGAGATGCTGGCTGTCCAGGACCAGGGACTGATTTACTTTCTCTGACCTTCCAGCGCTTGCTCTCTGAGGTCCAGGTGAGATTTCTGGAATGAGGTGACACAGTAAAGTGGAAGGCAGCAAAGAGGGTGGGGAGATGATGCAGGGGAAATGGGTACAGTTACCAGGATAGGCTGGGAAGGAGGAATGATGGACGGAAACAGGGGAAGAAATAGCTCAGAGAAGAGCCTGATGACTTTGCAAATGGAATGGAAGCATTAAGGTTCGATAAGCTTTCACCCTGACTACTTAGAGCATTTCCCTAAATGTGGGACAGAGAAAGGACCACGAGGATACAGAGACTAGAGGAGGGTAGTTTAGGCAGCAAGACACAAAGAATTCAGAGAAAGACCTAGAGGGAGAAAGACAGGGAGTGATCCACCGCCATCCCCCATTAACATCAGAAAACTTGTGTCATTTTTAAGTGGATGGAAAGAATACATCTTCATGCATAACTTACATGAATCATCGACTTACGGTAAAAGAAGCTTGAGAAGGGGAGTGGGTAGAGAGCTGATGTGAAGTTAGGGTGTCTCAGGTTCAAATCTCTTCTCTTGATAGGTGCTGGGCCAATCACCTAACCTCTCAGTGCTGTCAGGCAACTCTCTAAGACTACTGTTGCAGATGAGTGGTGGGTCTCCAATCCAGAGTAGAAATTCTAATTTCGTGATCTTGGGCAAGTTTGTTAAGCTCCCTGGGCCTCAGTTTCCCCATTTATAAAATGAGGGGATTTTACTGGGTGGCCTCTGATCCATGACTTTGTGATTAAATCACAGGTCCAGACAGACCCCCTGCCTAAAAAAACTGGTTTGGGTTTGACTTCCCCGGGAATTCTCACAGAGGGCACAGCAGCAGATCGTAGGCTCCTTCCTTCACACCCAGTAACTGGAGAATGGTGAATTCGGAGGCACTCTAGAACATTTCCTCGGCCACACTTGTCTCAGACTTCACAGGGTGTCCCTATGCCCCATCAAATGAAAAACTTGAAGCCCCTGCTTTAAGATGGGCCTTTCTTCCCTTTGCTCCTTAGTTCAGCTACAGGTTCAGGACTGGACAAAGCTTCAGGAAGCTTTGCACTTGATTTCCTCTCACTGCCTCCCCCACTCCCCAACGTTCCCTTGGCTCTGTCTCTCTTCCTCCCCAACCTTCTCAGCCTCCCTGCCCTCCAGCTTCTTTGTCTCTTGCTTCTTGTGGGACATGGGGAGTGCTCCCTTGAACCTACCAAGGGTAGAGCAGATGGTGCTTGACAGAATGGGGGAAGGCACAGCCATCTCCCGCTTCTTTGTGTCCCCCCCCCCCGCCACCCACCCCATGCCTAGCAGAAAATCCTGTGCATATTAAAGTTCAGTAAATGTCTTAATTGACAGAGTTGGAGAAAAGCCCATGCTGGCAGGGCTGGGGGTGAGGGGAGAGGTTGTTTCTTCTGCTTCTTTATGGCCTCTAGTATTCCCCCAGATTTCTTTCCCTCAGTATCTTCCCGAAGTGGAGGCATATAAGCAGCTCTAAAACAGAGTGGAATATAGTAAGGGTGAGGAAAGAGTTAAGACTCTAGTGCCTCGTCATGGATCCAGCCCCCCATCCCCGCCCTGATCCCGCCTACCTCCCCCCCCCCAGCCAGCCAAGTCCTCCCCCCGCAAAGTGCTGCAGACTCTTCCCTATCGCTGCTGGTTGGGGCCGAAGCCACCCGCCTCCATGAGGGCCCCCCCTCCCACACCCCAGGGTAGGAGCTGGACTGGAGGAGGGGAGGGGAGGGGAAGGCTAAGGATGGGGGAACGTTGGGCACAGGAGGAAAGGCAAAAGAGGAACTGGGGAGTGGGCGAGGGGAGGACAAGGTGGGGATAAATAATTTGGGACTCTGGAGCCTAGGGGTGGGGTAGCAGACAGGCCTAAGGATGGTCAGAAGAGGGAGGAATTCAAGGGCAGGAGGCCAGGGAGGACCAGGACTGGGCAGGGAAGCAGCCCAGTCTGGGTCTGTGACAGTCCTGATATAGACCGGGTGGAGCTGTAGGGCTCTGAGGCTGAGGATGTTGCATGATGATCCTAATACCAGGACCCTCACTCCCTATGCCTTCCCCCTACCCCACCCCATCCCTTAGCAGCCTGGGATGACACAGACATGGAGGGCAGAATCTTTGGTGTAAAGGGAGGGGATTTGGGAGGGTGGGGGGGCAAAGGCTGGTATGGAGAATGTGCCTTAGTGGGAGGGTCCCTGAGCCTCAGCTGCCAGATTTCCCAGCTGCTTGGGGAGATTGGGGGGCTGGCAAGGAGGGAGTGGAAATGGCACTGCAATGGGCTTCTGTATGGGAGGGAATATTGTGGGGATGTTGGGGGGCCACTGGGGGATGGGGTCATTGAAACGTGGCAGGAGCGTCCTCCAGGACAGGGTAGTTTGCAGCCGTTATCCTTTACTGTCAGTGAATGTCAAGTCCAGGTGTCTAGAAACCCCTATCACTTGCACCCCCTGAGGCCCTGCCCTTCGACTGGCTGGAACCATGGCTGAGATTGGGAGCCTCACCCTCACCATCAGCCATCCTTACTCTCCCAGACTGAGCCCTTGAGGTTTCCAGACTAATCCTTTCCTATGATGTCCCTGCAGCCCCCTCCTCATCTTTGCTTTCCATTCCCAAAGTGAGGGTCCTTGCTTCGAGGGGCACACTCCGTTCCTGCTTCTCCCACACACTCCTACCCCTCACCCCACCCCCCTTGCAGAGACAGCCAAGAAAATGACTTGTCATGGTGTGGGGGGGGGGAAGGAGAGAGAGGAGGAGCCGAAGCTGAACACACACACACACACACACAGACACAGACACACACACACACACACACACACACACACACATAGACACTGCGGCACACTGCAGCTGCCGGAGCCATCCCCCACACACACCCGGCCTCACTGCGGAGCCACCTGCCTCCTCCACTGCCCTGGCTCAGCACCCCCCCCCACCTCCCACCCAGAAAAGTGCCCCGATATCCGTGAGCAAGGGAAGCTGTTAGGGAGCCTTTCCTAAGGGAAGAGGAAGAATGGGGTAAGATCCTATACCCTAGTCCCCTCACTCTAGTGAAGGGAGTTAAGGGAAAAGGGGAGAGAGATCAGGACCTTATGGGAGTATGGGGGCAAGGAGGCAGATAAACCATGTATTTGGTAACTGGCACTCTGAGCATGATGGAGACAGAATTGGGAAAGACCATCAGAAAAATGGGGGGGGTGTTTCAGATTGATTTCTTAGGGCCAAATAGGAATCCTGAAGTGTGATGCCAATCAGATTGTTTGGATTTTACATTTTTAATTGGAATGTATGACCTTTGGAGTATGGGAGTAAGGGGAGGGGGGCTCAGGCTCTTTCCATCAAGATAAGTTATGGATGACCCCTCATATCTCCCAACCCAACCCCAGTCTAGCCTGTTACTCCCAGACTAGCTGAATAGAACCCCCTAAGTCCCCTTTCTCCTTTTAAGATTCTTTACTCCTAAATCATATTGGATTTTCTACCCCCTCCATATCTCTGGATTTCCTACTCTTCCCTTCTTTCAGTTTGGTCTTGACATTGATATTCCTCTTCCACATTCTTTCCAAATTACATCTTATGGTTTGGGGTCAGATGCATCTTTCTCAGAAATGCCCTTATTCAAATCACCCTGGCCTGGGGAGCTAGAAAGGAAAGACAAGAGGGACCCAGGACTAAGAATTATCAGGCAGAGGCTAGGCTCCTGCCTTCATGTCCCCTCCCAATCTAGACCCACGATAACTCCTCTGCTACCTTGAAATATATGATTAAAAGGCTAAGGGTGAACACAGGAGGTGCTGGCTCTCTATTCATCTGCTGACTCACCACCTGATTTTTATACCCCATGCATTGATTTCTTGCTAAGATTCCAAGAAATGAGATAGGATGTGAATTTGGAAATGGGGATGGGGGGAGACAGGAACTGGAGCATTTCCTTTCTCTCCACAGTTCCTTGGGTAGCTATCCAACCCTTCTCTGCAGACTCTGCTTTCTGTGCCTGGGCACAGGAAACATAGCTAGGGGAGAGTCAGAGGGGGGAAAGGGGAATCACGGAATCATAAAATTTTGGAACTAAAAGAACCTTTAGAGATCATCTAGTTCCTGTCCCCCCATTTTGCAGATGAGAAGACTGCATCCAGAGGTTAAATGACTTTTCCAAGGTCATACTTTTCCAAGAACCAGCACTTAAACTCAGATCTCCTAATTCCTAGTCCAGAGAATTTTTCTATTTACCACAATGCCTTCTCAGACCACTCCCTGCCAGGATTCTTAGGGAGGTTTTATTAAACTGGGCCTCTTCGGGGTTTCAGAAAGTGATATGTATGGTTCAGAAAAGCACTGAGATTCTGCTCGGTGCTTGGTATGTACTGGGATTTGGGGTGTCTAGTATGCCCACAGAACAGAGTAAAGGAGTCGAGCCATCTTTCTATTTCTGAAATGTCAAACTTAGGGATCTATTATATACTCTGGACTTCTCTGAGCCTTTCTAAAAAGAATGCTAGAAGTGGAGTGGGGGTGGGGAGAGGGAGGGAAGCCCTGGACACTGCTCAGAAGATACCATCTACCCATTCCTAGCCCCACTGAAGGTATAAAAGTGCATGGGAGGATATGAGAGGGAAGTCTAGTGAGGATCATGGTCTTGGGGGACCTCCCAGCTGGGCCCCCTACCCCCAGGCAGCACCAGGAGCACAGGGCTCGAGTTGGACAAAGGCTCCTTGTCAACCAGGGAGTCAGAGGCAGGAGTCCCAGTAGACAAAGCACTGGGGTGGGAGGGTAGAGGGGGAGGACTGGGAGTATGCCTGGGTAACTAGAGGAGAAAGCAGATAACCAGTTTGGAGGAAGCAAGCTAGAGTAGAGGTCCCTGTAGGTAGCAGTCCCTGAAAAGGGTAGGAATGATTTTTTTTTAAAATAGCATTTTATATAATACCTACTGTGTGCCAAGCACTGTGTTGAACAGCTCTCTCAGTTTCTTCATCTGTAAAATGGGGGTGATAATACCACCAACCTCCAAGGGTTGTGTTGAGGATCAAATGAGATAATAATTGTAAAACCCTTACCACAGTGCCTGGAACATAATGAACACTATACAAATGTTAGATTTTTTTAAAAATGTGTGTCAAATATTGAGCACTTTGCAAAAATTATCTTATTTAATCCTATTATTATCTATAATTTATAGTTAAAGAAACTGAGTCAGTATTTGGCAAGTGTCTGAGGCCGGTTTTTAATTAAAGTCTTCCTGACTCCAGGCCCAGTGCTGTATCCGCTGCACCACCTTGCTGCTTCTAGGAGAGGAAGGGCCAGCTATGGAGGCTCGGCATACTGTACTCTTGATCTAGCCAGCCTCTTTTCCTCCCCAAATTCTCATGTTCCCTAGTATCCCATTCCTTCCAGCCTTGTCATCCCAACCCCCATCATGCTTTCATCAAGTCAAGTATTTATCATTTAATCATTTCCTACAGTCCCACCTTATTCTATCCCTCTTCCATTTCAAAAATGCCTCTCTCTCTGTCACAGGCCAACGGACCCTTTGTCATCAAAGTGAGACCCTCGAGACAGTCATCTTGGTAAACCCCAATGCAGGGAGCATCAGCTCTGAGGTGAGGCACTGGACCAGTGCTTTTCCTTCTTAATACTGAGATACCTTCTCCCCTGACTCCCTACCACATGGCAAAGAGTCACCACAATTGACCTCCAATTCTCCCTTTCCCACCATCTCTGGGTTCTCCTTCCAGAGGTACCATACCAATCCCAGACTCAATCCAAAGTATATATACATAAAGGGGACTAGGGCATTACCCTACAGGACTGAATAAGATGAAGAGAAAAGTACAGTTGTCTTTTTGTCTATTTCTTACCTCTTTCTAGGTTTACTCCCTCCTTACCAGCGCATCAGCCCACAAGCTGCTGATCTTGAGTGGACAGAGTTCAGAGCCTGGTGGGGACCTCATCCTACAGAGTGGCACCTACTCCTACCAGAATTTTGCCCAGGTCCTTCACAATCCAGAGGTGAGCTTCATTTTGGAGTTTTGGAGAAGGGAACCTAAAAGCAGGCAATCACTAGGGGACTGGGGACTGAGAAGGAAGGAGGGCCATGGAAGACATTGAAAGGTTCTTATGTTAGCGCCCTCAGCCTTGGGAAGAATCAGGGTGGGGACTCTGGTCAGAGGTGGAACCCAACACCAGGTAAGAGCTCTAATGACCCTGACTGGATTTTTATTCTGTTCCTTTAGGTTGCACAACTGCTCAGCAACAGAGACCCCAGCGTTCAGGCCTCCCTCACTGTGTCGTGTCTGGGTGAGGGTGATTGGAGCCACCTGGGCCAATATAGCTCCCAGGAAACCTTGCACCTTCGGCTAAACCCAGAACCCACGTTGCCCACCATGGATGGTGTGGCTGAGTTTGCAGAATATGTCTCTGAGACTGTGGATGTGCCATCTCCCTTTGACCTTCTGGAGCCCCCTACTTCTGGAGGCTTCCTCAAGCTTTCCAAGCCCTGTTGCTACATCTTCCCTGGCGGTCGTGGGGACTCTGCTCTCTTTGCTGTCAATGGTTTCAACATCCTAGTGGATGGTGGCTCTGACCGCAAGTCCTGCTTCTGGAAGCTGGTGAGGCACCTTGATCGCATCGACTCGGTCCTGCTCACTCACATTGGTGCAGATAACCTGCCTGGCATCAATGGGTTGCTGCAGCGCAAGGTGGCAGAGCAGGAGGAGGAACAGTCCCAAGGCTCCAGCAGCTACAGTGACTGGGTCAAGAATCTCATCTCCCCTGAGCTTGGGGTGGTCTTCTTCAATGTCCCTGACAAGCTGCGCCTGCCTGATGCTGCCCGAAAAGCCAAGCGGAGCATCGAGGAGGCCTGCCTGACCCTGCAGCACCTAAACCGTTTGGGCATCCAGGCAGAGCCACTGTACCGGGTGGTTAGCAACACCATCGAGCCACTGACTCTCTTCCACAAAATGGGTGTGGGCCGGCTGGATATGTATGTCCTCAATCCTGTCAAGGACAGCAAGGAAATGCAATTCCTCATGCAAAAGTGGGCGGGCAACAGCAAGGCCAAGACTGGTATCGTGCTGGCCAATGGGAAAGAGGGTGAGATTTCAGTGCCCTACCTCACCTCTATCACCGCCCTGGTAGTCTGGCTACCAGCCAGTCCCACAGAGAAGATCGTACGGGTGCTTTTCCCTGGGAATGCCCCCCAGAACAAGATCCTAGAGGGGCTGGAGAAGCTTCGTCACTTGGACTTCCTCCGCTATCCTGTGGCCACACAGAAAGACCTAGCCTCTGGGTCTGTACCGGCTAACCTGAAACCCAGTAAGATCAAACAGAGGGCCGACAGCAGAGAGAGCCTCAAAGCATCTGCCAAGCCGGCTGTGGGTAAGCTGGCCAAACGGGAGGAGGTGCCTGAAGAAGGGGCTAAGGAGGCCCGGTCAGAGCTAGCCAAGGAGCTAGCCAAGAGTGAAAAGAGGGCAAAGGAGCCCCCAGAGAAACCTCCAGAGAAGGCAGCCAAGACTGAGAGGGTCCGAACCGAGTCCAGTGAAGTGATGAAGGCTGAGAAGAGGAAGCTGATCAAAGATAAGACTGGGAAGAAGCACCTGAAGGAGAAGGTGTCAAAACTGGAAGAGAAAAAGGACAAGGAGAAGAAAGAGATCAAGAAGGAGAGGAAGGAGATCAAGAAGGAGGAGGGGAAGAGGGAAGAGAAAAAGGATGCTAAGAAGGAGGATAAGAAAAAAGATGCTAAGCCAGAACCCAAGAAATTTTCTAAGCCAGACCTGAAACCCTTTACTCCTGAGGTACGAAAGACACTGTACAAAGCTAAGGTCCCAGGCAGGGTCAAGACAGAAAAGAGTCGGGCAGTCCGTGAGAAGGAGGTCTCTCTTGAACCCCGGACACCTCCAGCCCAGAAGGAGGTGGCACCACCGCCGGTAGTCACGGCGCCAAGAGAGCTGGTCTTATCCTCACCAGAAGACCTCACCCGGGACTTTGAGGAGATGAAGCGTGAAGAGAGAGTTTTGCTTGAGCAAAAGGACAGTGACCTGGAGGTGAGACCACAGCCTCCTGAAACTAGGGAAGAAGGGCTCCCCAGCACAGCCGATCTGGATGTTGTGCCTTCTGGCCCAGGCCTGGATCAGGACGAGGCCCTGAAGGGAGAGAAAGAGGTTGCCCCAGAAACCTCCGAAGGACCCGCCTGCAAGGTCGGGAGCCCTGGTTCTGAGGCCAAAAAAGAGGAGGGTGAAGATGCTGGGGAGGTCCAGGATGGGAAGCAAAGGGAAGCTGAGAGGTCTCTAGAAGGAAAAGAGGCCAGAGAGGAGAGTGAACCAGAGACGAAGGAGGATGTGATTGAAAAAGCTGAGCTAGAAGAGATGGAAGAAGTACATCCATCAGATGGAGAGGAGGAAGAAGAGGAGGAGGAGACAAAGGCTGAGGGTTTCTACCCAAAGTACCACATGCAGGAATCACTGAAGGTCACCTCACAGGGCAAGGAGGCTCTTGGGGGTCGGGACCTGGGACCACAGGGTAAGGCCCCTGAAAAGGAGACATCATTCCTCAGCAGCCTAGCTACTCCTGCAGGAGCCACAGAGCATGTCTCATATATACAGGATGAAACCATCCCTGGCTACTCAGAAACAGAGCAGACCATCTCAGATGAGGAGATTCATGACGAGCCTGAGGAGCGCCCTGCCCCACCCAGGTTTCCTCCAGGTACCTACGACCTCTCTGGGCCTGATGCTCCCAGCTCCCTTGAGACTAGCCAGCCCATTGATGGTACTGTACCTTCCACCCCTGCCAAGGGCTATGGGCCCCCAGAAACAGAACTCCTCACTTACGCACCTAACATGGTGGCTGCCCCCTTGGCTGAAGAAGAACATGTGTCCTCAGCCACCTCCATCACCGAGTGTGACAAGCTGTCTTCCTTTGCCACATCAGTGGCTGAAGACCAGTCAGTAGCCTCACTCACAGCTCCCCAGACTGAAGAGACAGGCAAGAGTTCCTTGCTGCTGGACACAGTCACTAGTATCCCTTCATCGCGCACTGAAGCTACTCAGGGCCTAGACTATGTACCATCTGCTGGTACCATCTCTCCCACCTCCTCCCTGGAGGAAGACAAAGGCTTCAAGTCTCCACCCTATGAGGATTTCCCAGTGCCCAGTGAGACTGAGAGGAGGGGAGAGGTCCCAGGAAGAGGTCTGTCTGGAGAGGGAGCTGCAGAAGAGGAGGAGGGAGATGAGACGCCTAATGTGGAGCTAACAGAAAAACTGCAGGATCACTATGGATCCCCACTCTTTGACACTCCTGGATCTACTCTCCACTCAGGGGAACCGATCCTTGGGGAACCAGAGGAGCGCTGCTTCAGTCCTGATGACAGCACAGTCAAGATGGCCTCACCACCCCCATCAGGCCCCCCCAGTGCTGCCCACACACCATTCCACCAGTCCCCAGTGGAGGATAAGTCTGAGCCTCAGGACTTTGACGAAGCAGTTTCCTGGGGAGAGGCTGGATGTGCACCAGGGGCTGGCAAGGAAGACAGTTCTAAGGAAGAGCCCAAATCAGAAACTGTAGAAAGAGAACCAGAAAAGGAGAAGGAGCATACCCCAATACTCAAGAGCCCTCACACCCAAGAAACAGCTGTGAGCAGAATCCCAGAGATTCCAGAACAGGACAAAGCCACTGTCTTAGAGACTGTGGAGGCTCCAGAGAGCCCAGCCCTGATTCCTAGTGCAGAGACCCTTCCTAGAGGCCTAGGGGCTTCACTCCAAGAGGCAGACAAGATCCACAGGGTTGAACTGCCCCAGGTTTCTAGCACAGTCCCCTCACCAGAAGAGGCTGAATCTCTCTCAATACCCAAGGCAATCTCCCCAGACTCTGCCAGCAAAGAACCTGCTTCACAGTCTCCCCCAGGCTTAGCAGAACATGACCTTCCCAAGGACCACTGGCCAGAAGTCTCCCCTGAGGATACCAGGTCACTTTCTCTCTCTGAAGAGAGTCCTAGCAAAGAGACCTCTCTAGATATCTCCTCCAAGCAACTGTCACCAGACAGTCTAGGTACTGTCCAGTTTGGGGATCTGAGCCAAGAAAAGGAGGAGAGAGTGCCTCAAGCCCTAGCTGAGCATGCCACTCATCACCTGGTCCCTGCATCTGACCATCCAGCCACAGGGCTTCCTCTCATGGAAGCATCCCCAACACACACTGCTCAGACCCATGTCACAGATGAGAGCCCCATCAGAGAGGCATCTGCCAGTCACTCCTCTCCCAGTGAGGTACTGAGAGACTTGAAGCTTTCTCCTGGATTGACCCCAGGCCCTGAGCAGGACGATCTGATCTTGGACAGCTCTCTCACTAAAGGCCCTAAGCCCCCTCAGAGCCCAGCTGTGAAAGACACAGCCCCAGGGTGGGAGGGTGAGGCCCTAGGGAAGGACAATAAGGCCCTGGAGCAGAAGAGAAGATCCCCAGAACCAAAGGATGAGGCTCTGGAGCAGTATGAGACCTTTGACGAGAAGGGCAAGTTATTGGAGGAAAAGGATAAGACCCTGGTAGAAAAGAGCAGGGACCTGGAGACGAGCAAATCCCTAGAAGAGAACGAGGCCCTGGAGAAGAGCAGGGAACTGGAGGAGTATGAGGCCCAGGAGAAGGATGAGGCCCCAGCAGAGGCCCTGAAAGAGAAGGACAGAATCCAAGAAGGGGAGGACACAGCCTTGGAAGGGGCCAGGGACTTAGAGCAGAAGAGCCCAGTGAGGGAGGACACAGCCCCAAATGAAAAAGGCGAGGTTCCCGAGGACAAAGCCCCAAAGCAGCAGGACAAATCACCAGACGAGGCCCCAGAGCAGGTAAAAACACAGGAAGAAAACAGGATCCTAGCAGAAAAAGACAAGGCCCTGGAGCAGAAAGAGAAGACCTTGGAGGACAAAACCCTAGATAAGACCAAGGCCTCCATCTGGGAATACAAGTCCCAAGAGCAGGAGGAGAAATGCTGGAGGGAACAGGAAGATGTGAGCAGAGAATGGCAGGGCCCGGCCCCAACCAGGGTGGCTCCAGCTGGGGAACAAAGAGAGACAGCTCCAAGGTGGGAGGACAGGGCCCATAAGCAAGACAGGTACTGGCAAGAACCAGAGGACAGGGCAGCAGAAGAGGAAATATACTGGAGGGAGCTGAGTTGTGAGAGAAAGGTCTGGTTCCCACATGAACTGGACAGGGCCCCAGGCCCAGGGGCCCGACCCCGGTACAGCGAAGAACGGGAGAGCACCTTCCTAGATGAGGGACCCGATGATGACCAAGAGGTGCTCCCTCTGGATCATGCACCCAGGAGCCCCTGGATCCCAGATTATAAGAGCTTCCAGGAGGTGTCACCACAGGGTGAACTGGAGATGGAGCGTTGGCTCTCAGAGTCCCCCACTGGACTTCCACCAAAGGAGGAGAGGGTAACTCGTTCCCCCTTTGAGATCATTTCCCCTCCAGCTTCCCCACCTGAGCTGGCTGGGCAGATGGGTTGCTCAGTTCTGGATCATGCTGCTGCTCCTTCAGTCCTAGGCCAAGAGACCCCCAGCCCAGAGCCCAAACCCAAGCCCACCACACATAAAGAGCCTCCTACACCTTCGTGGCTGGCTGAGATCCCCCCATGGGTTCCCAAAGACAGGCCACTCCCCCCGGCACCTCAGTCCCCTGCTCCAGTACCCCCCACACCTGCCCCGGAGCCACTCCCTCCTGCCCCTTTCTCTTGGGGTATGGCTGAGTATGATAGTGTGGTGGCTGCAGTGCAGGAGGGAGCAGCTGAGTTGGAAGGGGGGCCTTATTCACCCCTAGGAAAAGACTACCGAAAGGCTGAAGGAGAGGGAGAGAGTGGAAAGGAGGACGGGACTTCTGACAGACGCCCTCAAAGCTCAGAGGTTTCCGAGTGCTCCAAAGCCAAGGAGCCTGAACAGACAGAGCCAGAGCAGAGGGAGCCCACACCATACCCTGAGGAGAGGAGCTTTCAATATGCAGATATCTATGAGCAGGTGCTTCTCTCTGGCTTCAGTTCCGCTTGTCCAATCAGGGAGCCCCCACTGGGTGCAGCGGGGGACTGGCCCCCTCGAATCTCAGCCAAGGAAGAGGCAGCTGGCCGGCATACCCCTGCAGAAAAGGAGCTGTCATCTCCAGCCTCCCCTAAGGACCGGAGTACAGACATAGCCTTCCACTACGCAACATTTCCTGGACAGGGTGCACTGAGGCAGGAAATCGACCAAGAGCCGGGTCGGGAGCCCAGTCTCATCCCTCCAGCTGTGCCTCCCCGTGCTGCTGCTCCAAGCAAAGCCCTTAGTCCCCTTCCTGATGGAAACATCCTGAGCTGCAGACCAGAAGAGGTAACCCTATCCCCAAAAGAGTCAAGTAGAGGGCAGGCAGAATGTTGGGATGAACATGCCAGTGACTCTGAGCTGGAGAAGGGGGCTCGGGAGCCATCAGAGAAAGAAGCCCGACCCTTAAGTCCTCCATCCCCTACTCCTGCTGAACCTTCTATTCCCAAGGCTGGCTCTGAAGTGCCTACTAGTACTTCCTCTGACTCACCCCCTGCCCCAGCTCGGCCTAGCCTGGACTTTCCTGCCTCAGCCTTTGGTTTCTCCTCATTGCAGCCGTCTGCCCCGCAGCTGCCCTCTCCAGCTGAGCCTCGATCTGCACCCTGTGGCTCCCTTGCCTTCTCTGGGGATCGTGCGCTAGCTCTCACCCCAGGACCCCCAACAAGGGCACGGCATGATGAATACCTGGAGGTGGCCAAGGCTCCTAGCCTAGACTCCTCACTACCCCAGCTTCCATCCCCCACCTCTCCTGGGGCTCCTCTCCTGTCCAATTTGCCCCGGCCTGCCTCGCCTGCCCTTTCGGAGGGCTCCTCATCAGAGGCCACCACTCCCGTCATCACCAGTGTAGCTGAGAGCTTCCCCCTAAGCTTGGCAGCTAGGGAGATGGAAGCAGGAGCAGAACCAGAAGGCAGAAGCCTCTGGGACCTGACCACACTGAGCCCAGCCCCTCCAGCCATACTGAGCCCTGCCCCTGCCCCCATCCTGCCTGGGGACATGGATGATGGTACCCTGCCCTGCCGCCTGGAGTGCTCGGGAGCAGCCCCCAAGGCCCTGGGATCCTGCTCAAGCCCATCCAGGGACTGTGCAGCTAATGGCCCTACTGAGGCCAGTCCCAGTCCCCCAGGGCTCCCCACAGCCAAAGAAGTTGAAGAGAAAGCTGAGCTTCGCCCAGACTGGGAATGTGGAGGCTGGCCTGAAGGAGCAGAGAAGTGCACCCGGCCAGCCACCCTATTATCTCCAGAGCCGCCCTTGTGTCCAGGGGGATCCACAAGGAGCCGGCCCAGCAGTGCCTCCCCTGAGCCAGAATCTGGGCCTCAAGGATGTGCTGCTGAATCGTGGCCCTGCTGTGGAGAGCTCTCTCCATCTTTTCTCAACCCTTCCCTGCCTAGGTCCATCGATGATAGCGATCTTTCCACTGAAGAGGCACGGTTAGTTGAGCGAGGGGGGAAGGCGCAGGGTGGGGGGGCCAGGAGGCATTGGGGGACCAGGCCCTGTGGCTGATGAGACACCTCCCACTTCTGCTAGTGACTCGGGCTCCTCACAGTCAGACTCAGATGTCCCCCCAGAGACTGAGGAGTGTCCCTCCATCACAGCGGAGGCAGCACTAGACTCAGACGAAGATGGTGACTTCCTACCCGTGGACAAAGCTGGGGGAGTCAGTGGGGCACACCATCCCCGGCCTGTCCATGACCCACCCCCAGCCCCCCAACCTGACCCCTGCCCACCCCCTCCACGCCCTGACGTGTGCATGGCTGACCCAGAGGGTCTAAGTACAGATGCAGGGCGGGCTGAACGGCTTCGGGAAAAGGAGAAGGAAAAGGGGCGGAGTGGGCGAAGGGCCCTAGGCAGGGCCAAGCCAGCCTCCCCTGCCAGGCGACTGGATCTTCGGGGCAAACGCTCTCCCACTCCTGGGAAGGGCCCCACCTCCCGAGTCCCACCTCGGCCCCGTGCCACCGCAGGCCAGGTACCACCTGAAGAAAAGGACGGACACAACGTTCTGACCAAGGGACTGGTCAATGGGCTCAAGACTGGTTCAAGTAAGTAGCAAAAACAAAAGGAAGAGAGTTTGATTTAGGATAGGATATGGAAGGCTGGTGCCTGAAAGAAGGTGGTGGTATAGCAGAAGTGGAGAGTTAGTGGGAAGAAGCGAGAGGTGGGTCCTGTTTTTGCTCCCCTTTATTATAACCAAGAATTCTGACATTTCTTTATCTATAGCTGCCATGGGCCAGAAGGGTGGCTCTGGCCCTCCAGTGTATGTGGACCTCGCTTACATCCCTAATCACTGCAGTGGCAAAACCGCTGACCTTGACTTCTTCCGCCGTGTACGGGCAGCTTACTATGTGGTCAGTGGGAATGACCCTGCCAATGGAGAGCCAAGCAGGGCCGTCCTGGATGCACTGCTGGAGGGCAAAGCACAGTGGGGAGAGAATCTGCAGGTGAGCAGAAGCCGGAGCTGGCAAAGAGGGGCAAACCCTAGTTGTGACCAACTCTGTCCGGAGCAGAGATAGAACATAATCTGAATCTTTCTGGGGACCTTTGTGGGGGAAAACCCACTGGATTTGGGAGGATACAGAGATCAATAAGAATGTCAACTTCCCCCATCCTTTCACCTATATCCACTCTTAGAAATTATCCTATCATGCTCTTACTTCTCCTTGGCATGTTTCTTCTCCCAACCCTATCCCCATTCAGGTAACTTTGATCCCTACCCATGACACGGAAGTGACCCGTGAATGGTATCAGCAGACACATGAGCAGCAGCAACAGCTTAACGTCCTCGTCCTGGCCAGCAGCAGCACGGTGGTCATGCAGGATGAGTCCTTCCCGGCCTGCAAGATCGAGTTCTGAAGGGACCACTTTCCCCTCCCTTTCATACCCCTTTCCCCAGCTTTCCCAGAGAATGGCTGAAGCTGAGTCTTTTGGGAGTGGGGGGCTATGGAGGCTGAATGGGGCAAGACGCTTGGATTCTGGGGGCTGTGTTGAGTGGGAGGCATCATTCCTTCCTCCCCCACCCCCCACCCCCCATACACAATGCCTCCTTTCCCTTTATCTGCAGGCATGAGAGAGGTCTCAGAACCAAAGGATTTCCCCAGAACCAAAGGGAGCAGGGAGGTGGGGTAGGCACAAAATGGGGACAGGGGAAGGTCACTTGCTGCCTGGGGACCTTGGAATAATTTCTTCCAGTGCTGTCAAAGGCTGGAGTGTAGGGGTGGGAATAAGTACAGGACCCAGGGTTCTCATGGAGAGGTCTGTTTTCTAGCATGGAGGAAGATCACTCCCCATTCCTGGGGGACCTCCCTATCCCAAAAGTATTTATTTTGCATCCCAGGATTTCCAATTATAATTTATTATACGACGTGGGGACATGATACTGTCAATTAAATGCCCAGAGCTACAACCCTGTCTCTCATCCCCTCCCACCCTCCAATTCTGGCAGGAGTTGGGGGTGTCTTGCTGCTACCCTGCCCCCAGGATTCCTTTACATCTAAATGTCTCAATCCAAAACTTGAAGCTCTTTTGACCAATGGGCCAAACTGGGGAAGAGGGGAGGTTCTACTTTCCCCTGTCAGCCTCTGCCCCTCATCGGTAGGCAGCAAAGGCAGGGGTCTTGCCTCTAATCCCATTCATATGCCACGGGCCTAATGCCCAGGCCAGGAGCAGAGGGGATGAGGGAGGAACCAGACCAGCCCAATCCCTGAGCTTATCCAAGCCCCCGGACTCCATGGCATATTCCCTCCCATGCTACTGCCCAAACCTTTCCTGCTTGGCTTCTATGCATGTGGCCATCTATGCTGGCCTGGTGTGTAATGGGTGAAAATACGCCACTGCCTGAACCCTAACATTTGACACCCCAACATTGTGCAATACCCCCAACATTCCCAATACCCTACTGCCATCCTGTAGCTGAGATCAGGATACCTATTTCCTCCCTAGCCCAGAGATTCCAGAAATTAAGAGCTGGGAGGTGGAAGCCATAGCAGAGGAAGAGTGGGATGGGGGAGGTGGGGAGTGCAGGGGAGGAGGTGGAGCTAAACTACAGCTCATCCCTTGCAGGATCAAAATAGGCTGAACATGGCACCTTAGAGAAAGGGACCTCCCCCCCCCGCCCCCAGAAAGTCCATGTGTTGCCCTGCCTGTCTGCTGCCAGATTGTGAGGCCCAGACGCTGACACAGTTGGTTGAATGGGCTCAGCTCCCATCCTGAAGGGAAGAAACCAAAATCAGTTATTTTCCTTGCTCCCTCCCCTTGCTGCTCTGCTCTTCATCCCTACCCAACCTTTCTTCCCCTGGCCCCCCACACACTCATCTTCCCACTGTTGTAAAGGAGCCACCTCGAACATTAACAATAAACCAACTTTGTGGCAGTTACTACCTGGGTGGCCAGGCTCTTGTTGACTTCACATATTGCTTGGTCCATGGACCCTAGTTTCTCCCTCTCTGCTCCTCCCACTGCTGCCCCTTCTCCCAAGCGGACTTAGATCAGGTGGATTCACCTTAGCTTCAAAGGAGGGTGGCCAGAAGCCTCCAAAAGAACTTTATGTGTTAAGGAAGGGATGGGATGTCCCTGTGCCCCACTGTGCTGGTTTCTGAGAACAGGTAGAAAAGCTTAAGCACAGAAAACAAGAGTTTATGAGTGGGAAAAACAGTAACAATTTAGGGAGGATTCCTGAGAAAGGGATTTAGAGTCCAAGGGAAGCAGGGACTGATGGTTAACAACAAATTAGGATTATAGACTAATTGTAGGGCCCCTCACTGTCTACAAGATCCAGAATCTCCTAGGGTTCAGATCCCACCATGAAAATTCACACCTATAGGGCAGACTATGGTAAAGTGGGGAGCTGGGTAGGGTCCCCAGTGAAGCTATGATTGTATGGGCCTGCTATAAGTGGTCAGGTTGCAAGGGGTGGGGAGAGAGAAGCTGAAACCATAGGGACTCTCACTATCCTGGGAACAGTATCTACACTTGGGTTGAAGGAGGTGGCAAAAAAGGCACAGCCTCTCCCAAAAATGTTCCTCGAAGACTCACAACCAAGTTCAGGAATGGTGATCCAGAGTAGGATGACTCCACAAATATAGTAAGAAACCCAAGGTTCTAGTAACTCAGATAGCTATACCCTCCTCCCCTGACCCCCCACCCCACTAGTCAAACTCCTCAAGGCTTCCCCAGCAAAGCTGGTCCGCAGGGATCTCCTAGAATAGCTGGCCTCCACTGGCTTTTTACTGCATTCCTATCCAAATGCATTAGTTATCAACAACACTGAATCTTATACCAGTTATCACTCACCCAGTTATACCTGGTATCATGCTCACACTTAGACCAGCATACCACTAAAGTCATTATTTCATATTTATTGAGCACTCACAATGTTCCTGCCCTCACCCAACCCAAATGACTGTATCTCCCTTCCCACCCTTCCCTCCCCCCCACCATCTTTGGGAAAAGCTTCACAATCACACCTGGCCCTAAGGACACAGAGAAGCAAGGACAAACCTCACAGGGACCCTGGAGTGCTTGGTCCCTAGTGGCCCAGCCCTGGACTCACTACAGAAATATATATATACATATGTATATATATACATATTATATATACATACGTATATATATACGTATGTATATATATGTATATATATACATATGTATATATATATATATAGACACACGCACACATACACACACATATATATATATATATTAAATCTTTGCTCCTGTCTGTACAATAGTGATCTCTTCTAATTGCTTAAAATAAAACCTGATTCTCTCCACTATAGACTCTCTCCCCACACTAAGCCAAGATACCCCTCAGCAGTTGGCCAAGGGTCCCCTGAAGGCAAGATACCCCTAAAGCAGCTTTAAGTGGTTACTCTTAAATCTTTAGAGCAGTTTGATACCCATCCTATGCCAGAGCTGTTGTTCAGGTGGATAGGAGGGGGGCACTTGGGGGATGATATGGGAATATCTATAGCCCAATTTCAGTATCAGAGGCCACCCAGGATGGTTAATTGGGGAATGGGATCCTCTTTCCCTCTCCCAATTTTTTTGGCCATCCTAAACCTGCCCAAAGAACACTGGGTAGACCTCTTGAATGCCCATGGGGCCCAAGGGACCTTGGGAGGTTATTCACCCTTTCTTAGGACATTAGCCAGAATCCAGAGCCCTCACCTTGGATCCGTTCTCTTATCCGTGCTGGTCCTTAATTGTCTTTAGCAACAAAAGGACGTTTCATTCAACTCTCAGTTACCTGGAACCCTCTGGCCTATTCTGAGGAGTTGAGGACACTGATTAGGCAACCAGAACCAAGGGACCCTTAGCAGAGTTGGCTCCACCCCAGCCCAGCTCTTGCCCCAATAATACACCTCTTAATGAGGAGAGAGCTTCCTCAGAGCCCTCTGGTTGGAGCCAAAGCCTGTCACTAGTAGGTGAGGTGGCCAGCAGAGCTGCTGCTGGTTCAAATGATTGGTGCAATGTGACCACTAATGGCAGAGTGCTTAGTCATGTGGTGCTGGTGGGAAGGGAGACTGCTGGCTGAAGGTCAGGGATTGGTCTAAAGGGTCTGGGTCACTACACAGGTGCTGGTCTTGAAGAACATTCTTTCCAAATAGCTGATTGACCTCCTTAGTACCCTCCTGGGTCAGCTGGTCAATCTCTTCAAGACTGTCTTGAGATAGTAAGTCAGCTTTCTCAGAAGCCTCCTGTGGCAGCTGATCAACCTCCTTATGACCCTCTTGGGTTGACTGGTCAACCTCCTTATCAGCTTCTTGGCTTGGCTGGTCAACCTCTTCAGGAATCTTCTGGGACATGAAGCCAACTTTAGGGGCTTCCTTTGAAAGTGGACCAACATTCACAGTAATTTCTTGAGAGGGCTGATCAACTTCGATAGGGCCCTCTGGAGACAGCTGATTGACCTCAGAGGCTCCCTGAGTCACCTGCTCAACTTTCATCAGAACGTCCTGGAATGCCTGGTCTACCCCTTCAGGCAGGGCTTCCTGTAACAGCTGGCCACTCTCTGCAGGCATTTCCTGAGGTGGCTGGATGATTTTGGAGGGTCCTTTTTCTGTCTCTGTGGTCTCCTTGCCCCCATCCTCAGGGATCTCCTGAGGCTGCCCAGGACTTTGATGTTCCTCACTCATTTGAGAACTCAGGTTTGGACGGTCACTGAAGCCAAAATGGGAGCCACCATCTACTGAAGTAGGGGAAGAGGGACCAGCACTAGACATAGTGCTGGAGGGACCACTGCTATCTGTAAAGCAAAGCAAAGGGACTTAATCAGGATAGCCAGAGAACTACGTACCACCCTCTATGTGTAGCTAGAACTGCCAGACTGGGTGGGCCAGTGCCAGTCTTGCTCTAATTTATCAGAAGTAATATTTGGTATGTTTGTCTTTTATCGGCCTATTAAATTGTAAACTCAATGAGAGCAAGGATCATGTTTTATTTTACTCCATAGCTCTCCTATGGGCCTAGCATGGTGCACTCAACACAGTAGGCACTACATATATGTTTCTTAAATATCTTGGTTAAGGAATGAAATGGGTCAGAGATGAGTTAAGAATATATAATTTTCAGGGGCCTGGCACCATAGAAACCTTTAAAGGAGAAGGGAGCGAGGCAGGTGCAAGATCATCATAAGACACCCTAAAGCTTAGAGTGGGAATGTTTAAGGTCATATAGGAAAGTGCTTTCAAATGAGATAATATTTGTAAAGCACTTAGCACAGTACCTGGTATATAAGCACTTGAAAAATGCTTGTTCCCTTCCTCCCCCGCCCCCCCCCCAATCCTGGATGAACTTGCAAAGCTTGGGGCAGCTGCAGTGTAGAAATGTGTCATAAGTGAGGGATGGAGGTAGGGGCTGGGGGTCTCCATGCAGGCATAACAATTGTAAAGATAGATACATATGTACGTATGTGTACATAGAAATATGTGCACATATATACATGTGTTTATGATCACATATAACTCATGTATGAAATCACTCATATCAGAGAGAAGAGAGATAGAAACAGCAACTGAAGGTTTAAAAAGTACTTTTCTCCCAATAATCTTGTAATATAAGAAAAGATATGTTAGGATAGACTCTCCACTTTCCCAGATCTGGCAGCACTGCCAACCCAAATCTGCCTTGAGTTTGGATTCTGAGGACCTTGTTCAAACATCTGCCCTCTCTCTCACACAAAAATGGAATGGAGTGAGAAAGAGGAACTGAGCCTGGGAATCAGAGGCATGCTGCACCAGCCATGCCAATCTGTCATTAGATTTTACTTATTCTAGGCTAAGAAATCCACATGCAAAGAAAGGGATCAAAAAAAGAAAACCTGGTCAGTGACCTGTGCTAGGCTGAATTCTCATCTGAGCCGATGTTGGAATACTGAAACTGTTTTGGATTCCTTTGAATTTCCCTTGGTGAGGGGAGGGGAAAGTTAGCTAAAGTAAAATGGGTGGAGAACTACAGCCCCAAACTGCCTCAAACTGGCCAAATAACTAGTCAGGTCAGATTAACCTCACTTCCATTTACTAGGGTTAGTGGATCAGGAGAATGCTAAAGACATGGTACAACTGGATTTCAGCAAAGCTTTTGAGGAAGTCATTTACACTCCTTATGGACAAGATTGAGAGATATACACTTAGGCAGACTGATAACTAGCTGAGTTATCAGACCCAGAGAGTATTAATTAATGTCCTGATGCCAACTTTGGAGGTTTGGAGGAGTCTTAAGCGGAGTGCCCCAGGGATCTGTTCTTGATACTACTCTACTCAATATTTTTTAATTGGTGACTTAGATGAAGGGATACTTTATCAGATTTACAGATAACACCAAGCTGTGGGTGGGGGAATAATAAACACAATGAATGACTGAGCCTAGCTCCAAAAAGACATGAAAAGGCTAGAACATTTGGGTAAATCTACTAAGATGAAAAGTAACTGAGAGCAGTTTGTGTCAGCAGAAGGGAGAAGTTGGAGGGTTGGGAGCTGCTGTCCCTTGACCAATGAGATAGGACGAACTATCCCAGATCAAGGACTGGGTTTGGAAGCCCCTCCCCTAGGGGAACCTATTACACTGGAACCTGTTACTTCATCCTGAGTCACTGCAACAACAACGATAAAAGCCTCCATTACCAGGAAGCCAGAGTGGAGCTGCAATGGCTTAACCAAGATAAAAGTCCCACTCAGGAGCTAGATTTCAGGGCCTCTTCTTGTCCACGGCAACCTAATCTACCTTGAGTCATTACAACAATACTACAGCTCTCCATTACTACCGAACACCCAAACCAATGGAGGCTTCCATTAACAGGAAGGCTTCTGCCCCAACCTCTACTCCTTCATGGACTCTTATCACTGGATCCCTCCCCACCCCCAAGCCTGGTTTAGGGGCCTTCTTGCCCTTGACCAATGCCCCACTTGGAGATTGCCCCTACTCAACTATGTGTCATCACTGCAAAACTACAGCCCCCCATTCAGGATCCCATCATTAACACCGAAACTTTTGTTCTAACACCAACTCTTCCTTTCCCTATCAGTGATTCTGGGAGAGTAAGGCTAGAACTCCTAGGCCTCTCAGGGACTGGATTTGGAAATCACCTCATTGTGGAGGCTGTGTCTGCCCTGTCCTGTATCAACACAGCCCTGCAAAACAAAACAAAACAAAATGGAAAAAAAAAAAGGGGGCAGCTAGGTGGCACAGTGGATAGAGCACCAGCCCTGGAGTCAGGAGGACCTGAGTTCAAATCCGGCCTCAGACACATGATACTCACTAGCTGCGTCACCCTGGGTAAATCACTTAACCCTGATTGCCTTGCCAAAAACAAAACAAAAAACAAACAAAAAAACCCACAACCCTGCAGACTTTCCTTACCAATATATGCCCAGAAAAAAAAGCAATAATGCCTTCATCCCACTCTCCCTACAATCCCCAATAACCATTAAGAACCTGGACAAACCTCCTGCCACCAGGATTCTACCCGGGATCAGAGTCAGACACCAAGCTTCTTGAAATCAAGACCTTGTCTAAGGCTCAGACATCAAGTCTGACCAGAAGTCATTCACATATTTCCTGTGCAGGGATGCAATATGCAATGCCCCCTTTAGAATGAGGCAAAGGAACTGGCACTGAAAATAAATTCAGTCATGCTCCTGAACAGCCAATCACCAGATGGGCAGAGACCAGACCCAGACACCCAATTCGATATCCTGTATTCCCTGGTGCTTGAGGAAAACAAAAAACAAAAAATGATACTGCCCTCTGTCTTCATACACTTGCAAGCAGAAGCACTAGCCCAATGGTATTTCCCTATCTAATGATTAGCAAATTCCTATTTTCCCCTTTCAGAATCGCTGGCTGCCTAGGCAAAAACAAACAAACAAACAAACAAAAAACACTTTCAACTGCTTCCAGTCTCTACTCTCTCATTTCCATCCACTTTAGCCCCATCTCTCTTGATTTGCTACCAAGTTCTGCCCAGTCCCTTTCATCATGCCCTCTGAACTTCCATCCTGGTGTTAATAAAACTGCCTTCATCTTTCACCTCTTCTTACATCCTTTCCTTCTTCTTGTACTTGCAGGTACTAGCCACTGTATCCAATACTAGGGACACTTGATCCCCCTGACCCACTGAACCAGGAGGAGTAAGCATCCTCCTTGCTCCTCACTGCCACCTCCAGATTGGCTTTGGGTGCCACTCCAGCTGCCACTATCACTTAACATTCCCACCTTTGAGATTCACTCCATACTATCTATATCACACTCCCAGGGCCCTTGCTGCAGTCTTCTATGCATCCTATGTCATTCTTTCTCAATGACGTTAGTACCTAGGTCACAGTATTCCCATACATTCTATTCCCTACACTTATACTTAGGGACTTCAACATACAAGTAAATGCCCCCTCAAAACTCTGTCCTCTCAGTTCATCAACTTCAACTCTCTTAACCTGCACCTTCATTCCAACTCAACCACACAGCTAGGTGGTACAGTGGATAGAGAGCTGGAGTCAGAAAGACCTGAGTTCAAATCTGATCTTAAATACTTACTAGCCATGTGACCCTAGGCAAGTCACCTAACCTGTCTGCCTCAATTTCCTCAAACTGTAAAATGGGGGTAATAATAGCACCTCCCAGGGTTATTGTGAAAATCAAATGAGATATTTGTAAAGTACTAGCACAGTGCCTGATACATGGTACATGTTTAAGAAAGACTTCTCAGGGAAACTAGGTGGATAGAACAATGGCCCTGGAGTCAGGAGGACCTGAGTTCAAATCCAATCTCAGACACATAACACTCACTAGTTGTGTGACTCTGGGCAAGTCACTTAACCCCAACTGCCTCACCCAAAAAAAAAAATACTTCTCCCAAGAACTATGGAGTTTGAATGCAGACTGAAGCATACTATTTGCTCTTTTTTTCCCCTTCTGTTTTGTTTCTTCTTTCTTGTAGTTCCTTCTATTGGTTCTAATTCTTCTTTACAACATGACTACTGTGAAAATATGTTTAATAGGAATGCATATGTAGAGCTTATGTCAGATTGTACGCCATCTTGGGGAGGGAGGTAGAGAGGGAGGAGGAGAAAATTTAAAACTCAAAAGCTTATGGAAGTGATTGTTGAAAACTAAAAATAAATTAAAGGGGAGAAAGTGGAGGTGCCTGTTGTAGGTAGCCTTCTCAACGAGGTCAGCCACAAAAGGGAGGAGAGTGATTGGGGGGAGTGAAGTGAGGGTTTTTTTGAGGATGGGGAAATGTGGTCTTGTCTGTAAGTAGTAGGAAAGTAACTAGCAGACTGAGAGAGCGGCTATGGTAGAGGGTGCAAACTGTTGGAGAAAATGGGACAGAACAAAAAAAAAGAGGATTTTACATTTGATCCTGGAGTTTATAAGGGAGTTACTGAGTGGGGTAGGGTGGGATGGAGTGGGTTTGTTACATAGTGAGACCTGTTTAGGAAGATCACTTTGACAGTCCTTTCTCCCAAATCCAACCCTCTTAGTTGAGAACCTTATCTTATATTTTACTGAAAAAATTGAGGCCATTCACTGATAACTCTCTCTCTTCTTCTCTTTTTCACATTACCCAGATGCTTTTGACCTCTAGTGTCTCCTTCATTCCAATCTCATATGAAGAGGTGGCCCTCTGCCTTGCTAAGGTCAGCAGGTGCCTCCACCTCCTCTCCTTTGACTCTTAACTCTCTACAGTCTGGCTTCCAATCTCATCATTCGACTGAAACTGCTCTCTCCAAAGTTACTTATGAGCTTCTA